TGCCAAGTCAAAGTAGTGCTTCTGTTCCTTCAGGACGTAAACGAAGAGGGTTCCATGACCTGATCAAGGAAAACCCATCTTTCGTGTTTACATTGTTGGTATGGTGTCTGATCTCTATTACTTCTCTGATGATCTGGTCCTTTTGGCGAGGACACTGGTTTTCTGCGTCATGGCCAGGTTCGTACGTTGGTATGTTTCCGAAAAATGTCGGCAACCTTCTACGAGACTACACAGCAGCACAACTCAGATGACCACAGTCCACACGTAAAGTAATTAATTTTATGAACCAGTGTGCTCGTGAAATTCAGGTGTTCACTGCTAAAACTTTGCACGGCATGTAACTTGCGTCTACCACGAGCGATTTATTTTTGACATTGACTCGCATGGAGTATCATATACAACATTTTTCTGAGCTAGAAATTATGAAGGAAAACAAACAAAACCAAATGACATGTGTGGTACTAAAAATGAATTACAATACTAAAATTTGTAATTTCAAAAAGCACAACAAATTAAGGCCATAATTAACAATGCAACAGAACACGCACACTGCACAACAACTGGTAATAAAATATATAGATCTTGTGGGGGAAAATTCTCACCTGTGGAGCGAATGATGGCGACTGGGCGAGCCATGGGTGGTGGGGGTGGTGGAGGCAGCATCGTGCTGGGGTAGTACTGTGACAACTTCGAAGGACTCCGGGAAGGTCCTGGCTGAGACTGCAAACAGAATATAAATACTCATCGTGATAGCTGACCGAGTACATCATCGATTTGATACTTAAGTTTAAAAACTGTCATGCAAGGTAAGTAAGAAATCAATACGCTTCTTTAAATACATGTACCCCAAACACTCTAGCCTGCTAAGAAATTAAATGATTCTTTTAAATTCATACAAAGTTGAAGTTGAAAGCACCTACTGAAGATGAAAGTTTTGTACAGTAGTCACCAAATCCTAAATTAAAGTTTTGCAAACTAACAAAAGGACTCCTGTCTGAAAGTCTAAATGCATGAAACAGAGTCCTACCTGTGTCTCCTGCGTTTCAGCTTCCTGGCAGACAAAATGGACAAAGTCAGAAAGGGTGTCATGACCATTCTCTGGGTACTTCGTGGGGCTATGTTGAGGGTGAGATTGCTGATCCCCATGCTGGGGTCCCTGCTGGTAATAGCTTGCTGTCGCTCCTGTCCCACCTCCTCCGCTAGACATGGAAGCCACAGAGCCGTGCTGAGATGTCAGTCCTGTTCGAAACACATGCAACAGTCCATCAGAAAGAGAGTCCTACGCATCCTACAGAAAAGAAAATTTCGTAGCCACACAGAGAATTCCTATTAAGACACAATAACTGTGAAACTAGAAGACAATTACATCAATCACTTATCAGGCAGCATAAGGAAGTTTTAAGAAAACTATTCTCATATACGCAAATAAAACATATACAACATAACGTGGCCAATCTACGTGACTTTAAGCTACAGAATGGGGTATGACTCAAGAGAAAGAATGAGAGGATAGGTGGGTGAGCGTATCAGGGAATTTTCTATTGCTAGCCCTGTGTTACGTGTCAGCAAAATATAGAGAGCTATAGAACATTCTTCCATCTCAAAATATAAAAGTATATCTTAATTTTTCATAGAACAGGTATTATAAATTATGATTGTTATTTCTTCCACTTATTATGTTGCTATATTAATCACAGAAAATGCAATGATTATTAAAATGCAAATGTTGTACACCTGATTTAAATGACTGAGATAATGGAAATTATGTTGCCATGATAAATAATTATGCAACAGTACATAAATAATATATTGTAAAATTTGAGGTTTTCACAGCGGTGACTATGAAGATTTCTGTCTTCTGGGTTGCTGCGCTGCATAGTCTGGCCGATGTTTGCCAACGTTTCAGAGGTCATACTGCCTCCGTCATCTGAAATGTTGGTTAACATCGACCAGACTATGCAGCGCAACAACCCAGAAGACAGAAATCTTCATAAATAATATATTTATCATAAATATAGACAAAATCTATATCAGACATGATAGGTTACTACAGACTCCTGCTTCATTATAAAATACCTCTCTTTCCAAAATTAATAAGCATAAAATTAATAGTGGGAATGTTAAAAAAAATCACCACAGCAAGTCACACACAAACAGGTAAGAAAATGGTGACAGTAACATTTATATCAATTTATATCAGATGTAAAGAACTTTTATAAACTGTAGGAAGAACAATGTGAAATGCAGTATCTATTTTTTTTCCTCTCATGTATACAAATATATATCCATCGCTAAAGTTTATTATCGTTTTTGTTATTTAGTATGCAGTTTCCTCAAAAATAAATTATGCAGAAACATAAACCAGATGTTGTGAGAATCATTAGATCATCATTTGGCACTTACATAAAAATACTTTGCGCTATAAGGTCTCAAATTACAATATGATCTCAAGACCATGTAGCGCATATTTATATGAATTCAAAGTTATGAAATCAAACAAAATCTCCTCAGAATACTTTCTAAATGATTATACATTTATAAAGAGTAAGAAGGATATGAAAGGCATGTCTAGCATTGGCACAGAAATATCTATAATTATGTTGTTCAGTCATGAAAATGAATTTTATGGATACACATGGGATTAAGCATTCATCCTACCTTCCTTAAATGGAGTAATTTAAATGAAAAAAAAATCTTATTGTTAAAAAAATTAGGTAAGAAAATCATGCAGAGCTATAAGTTACTGTATTCACCAAGGAATGTTATTTACATGAGCAAAGTGTCTCTCATTGTAAGCACACAATCATGGCCACACCCATTTCAAAAGGCTATATATCGAGAATGATTTCATGCTTCTAATCCAGTAAAATATAAAGAGATGAGAGACTTATTTAGCCTCAGTTCATGACAGGGGCCATTATATTAAGAATTTAAAATATAAATTGATTGTTGTAAATAACTCTGTGGTAATTTTAAATATGAGATCAAAAGACAAACATTTAGTATTAAATTTACTTAAAGTGTCAGATCTTAGAATATTTCAGCAACCGAACATACATAATTGAAATGACCCCCATCAAAATAATTTTTCAGTATTTATAAAACCAGATCTGTCTCTTTAGATGCAAAGCTCACTGCGTTGCTCAGTAATCTGGACACTGGAAGTGCTGTCTACAGAAACGGTATCAAGAAGGAAGTAAGCGTTCCATTTCCAAATAAAACACTCTAGCTGGGTTTAAGCATGCTGTTTGCTACAAGCCAGGCTAAGAGTAGTAGTCGCTAGCCTCGGTGTACGCCCCCTACCTTCCCAACGACCAAGCAGCGAGTTCATGTCTGCAACTGTCTTGTGTTCTGCAAAGATAGCCCACCAGCCAAGTAATTAGTCTGGATACAAAACGTTTGTTCATATATTCTTAATTTATGTTATTAACATTTAACATTGAATCAATGCTTCAAATATTAGCATCAGTACTGCAGCTAAAAATTTGAACATTACCAAAGATAGATTACAAACCTGTATATAATGAAAAATCATATCAGCACTTTAAAATATAGAATTTTATTAATTTTGCTTCACTTAATGTTAATAAGGAAAATTTAATCAATAAGAATGAGACTGATGAATTCTTACATTATTTAATAATGGTTTTGAAAAAATGGGTGAGTGGATGGGTTAGTATGCAGGCAGATGATTCTCAAGGTCACAGTTCGTTATGTACATGGACAGAATGTGCCTTGATGAAGCTCCTGTCTGGTGACTTCCATCTTATGTATTACAATAGCAGGATCAGGGATAGGATTCTTAAATGATGATTTGCAGATTCCCCATTTCATATACATATTTTACTAAGCACTAGACATGGCTATACAGCACTAATTAGTGGAAAATCTTCAGCTGCTACATCAAAGATCTGCATCAACATTCTTTTACCTCTGGAACAATTCTTAGCTCATTGAGCATAAAAATACAGTTTAACTTGGAATTATTCCTCTTCAAGAGTTGAACCTGAAGACATGTTTGATTCTAAGCTATTACTAACCAACAATATAAATTAGACTGTTTACTCAGATAAGAAACACTTCTGGTTAAAGAACTTGATGTGCTGGACCATGAGAGAAACTGCAGAAATCAGTGTGGCAAAACTTCTCAGTTACCGAGTGTTTAGCAACACAACATATTTATGAAACAGGGTTTCTTTTTCTCAAGATTTAAACCTGAGAATTTCTAACCTCAACACAAAACCATCAGAAGTCAATCACAATAATTTGGAAGATGAGAGTAGTGTGAAGAACATACCATAGCTCTAAACACTTAAAACCTTATTTCTGAGAACAGTTCAATCCTCTCAAAAGTAATGGAAGTAATATTATCTCATATATTTTTATTCCAAGTTAGAATGGTCACATTCAATGTTTGGAAAAAGTGGGAAATATAGTTTCATCAATTTTTTTTTTTTAAAAAAATGCATAGTAATTTATTTATAACTGATTTGGTTACATAAACATCAATCCTATAAATAAAAAATAAACATAGTCCATTTCCAAATTTCCTGATAAATTCATCATAAGAATGACAATCAGTCACATGGATAATATCAGTGAAATTCACATGGCACAATTGTTTCTTTGACAATATACCACATCTTAACAAATAATTGTTTATGTTTACTTATTAACCGGCAGCTGAAGATTGATTATGACATGTCAAATGGGGAGACAAAAATACACAATTCTGAATCTGAAGTGAAACTAAAATACACAAAACTGCAATTGTATTGTGACATGGATTATCAGAAAAGGAAACTAATTAAAAATTTCAAGCAAGTGAAATAGCAATGCTTATTAATGTATTCATATGACAATACTATAGTCTTTAAAATATTCACCTTTATAAATATCAACCACAATTCTTAAATTACTTTGGATTATTTAAACAGGCCTAATAATATCAAACAAATCTGCCTTCTGTTATCCCATTCATATAAATTTGTAACAAGGTTTCAGGTGACATGCAAAGCTACAATAATCCTTAGTTCACTGTTTCAGCAGTGCAGAATCAGCTAATACAGTGCTTCCTACAGACTCCAGCAAAAAGTCACTTTTCAAAATACGTAGTTGATTCAAGATCTATCTTACAACACACAACACGATGAAAAAATTGAAATGAAGGCAACATTAAATATCTCAGTTAACTCCAAGGCCTAACAAAGAAAGACACTGAAAGAAGCCAAAATTATAGGGAGTTTTCAGAGACATCCATATAGAATCAGGAAATATTTAAAAGCAAATTGTAATGTGTAAACCAATGCAGTTTATTGTCAAGCAAGCATTGTAGAGCAGTAATAAGAGCTGCAAATGTGAACAGCTCTAGTGGAAGGCAAGGACTGCAAATGGCACACATACGCTTCCAACACTGGTGAGACAGTAGGCTCAATTCATGCAGGGCACTAATCTAGGGATGAAAGTCACTAAAATTTAGAGGTTAGTATCATAAAAGAACAGTACTTGCTGACAAAGATGTCAGAAATCACTGACCCAATCAAATATTCAAATTATATCTGCATTTCCAGAAGTTGAGTGACAAGGTGTGAGCTAAAATTGTAGCAAATGTGAAAAAAGCAAACAGTTAAACATGAATAATAAAAGAAACAGGTACGAAAGGCCAGAAGTGTACGAAGGTATGTGACAGACAATTCTACTAAAATGAAGAAGAAATTGTAACAATACCATTTATGGATTAACATTTACGGTGAAAAATAACAACAATAATCACAGAGAAAAAACAATTAAGTTGCTATACAAAGAATAAGTGTTCATAAAAACAGTAACAATAATATCGTTGTCAAGCTGGAAATTAAATTTAAATGTTGGCAAACTTGATTAACTGAGTGTGACTGTGATGTGAAATTCCACTTAAAC